GTCCATGCCTGTAGCATCCTGTAGCCACAGCAAAGAGGGCCTCATTTTGGGATCTGGAATCATGCAATTTTGTGGGTAAACAATTGTGCGATATGTTGAGCAATACAGATATGGGTCAAAACTACCTTCAATAGCCTTCAACAAAAACACAGCACATGACGGTCCGAATGCAACCTGTTTCTTTGTGAGGCAACAAAAAACGTATTTTTTTCACCCAATCCAATTTGCAACCCAAACCATTGCCCAGGCGGGTTCATCCCAATAGGATCTAATAGCTTCATGGGAGCTCACGTTGCCCCATTTTTTTGGATTGTGCATAGTACTACAGTTATGGCCATTTACCAGTTATAACTGGTTATAAATGGGATTATACATTCTATAAATGGGGTTATAAGTACTTATAACTAATAAATGGCCATAACTGTACTACATGTACTAACCGCTATAATATGCTATAATCCCATATAAATCCCAAATAATCAACACCCCCGAGATTAGATGATCCCGAAAACTTAAGTGCAAATCCCCGGGTCCCCATGGTTTCTCAAGCTGTGAAAAATCCTAAGAAAAGAAAAATAATTCCCAGCAACCAACGTTTTTTTTCGAAACTGCTCCATTCTTCCCCAGTCGGTCCTGCAAACCAAATGGCACGCCACGCTCCATGTCGGTCTACGGCGATGCCGTGAGGGCGGAACTAAGTTGGGGTAGATAGTAAAACGAAGCCTGCGTATCCCAAAAAATCATGTAAGCTGGGTTTAAAACATCAATGATCAGGGTTTAAAAAGTTATGGCCCTTGAAAGTTCTAAGTCAGTAAGTCACCCCAATTATGGAATGATAACCCCATATCCATTTAAATTTATGACTGGTAAAGGGCTTTAACTCTGGCAGATACATATGATACATCTATAGTTAGATGGGGTTATAAACCAACTCATAACTGTGGAGGGCCCCACTTTCTATGGATTGAAGACCATACCTCGATCCAAAGATTGACCCTAGTACACTAGTAAGATGGCCACACCAGCTGCGTGCAGAACTCCTGTCGTCATAGAAAAGTATATATCTATAAATTATTACAAAATCCTATACATCAGATTAAATCAAAGGCTAACGACAGTGAAATATCTAATCTAGTAATATTCTAACGCTTATTTGTCAGTACGTATGCTGGAAGGCACTTTTGCCCACCTCTCTGGTCCCAAGACCGGATGCACTTCACCTAGCAAAAACCCTGCCTCTGGTAGTCCAACTTTGCCACTATGAAAGGCAAGAAAACCAACACAAAATTTATGGTCTCTGGGCAAGGTCAATCACGAGATTGGTTGGAATTATGACTTGACTGGTTATGAGAGTTTACTTGCCCCAATTTCACCACCCAAACGTAGATTACGACTGTACAAAATCTTGCTTTGTTGGGATTCCGGCGCTGCAATCGACGCCTCTGCAATCGACGTGGCCGTGGCTTCAACACCAAAGGTTTTCGGCGGAACAAAGTCCTTGCAGCCGAAATCGGTCACCCGCAGAGCTAATGATCCTGGAGTTAGGAGAGCTAAATCATCACTGGTTGAGCATTTCTTTTAAGTATACATAGTATGTGTATAAATTATATGTTAATGACGTTAAATAATGATGAATATATATATATATTACATAACAACTACATTTCACAGGGTATCACCCTGATACCAGTTGACTAAGCCAGCCTGTGCCTGTGTCCCATCCTTTTGGAACCAGATTCTGGGAGATTTTTCCCAAGTCACATCTGCCGGGAGGCGCTGAAGTAGTTTAGCAATTCTGAAGGGGAGATGAAACATGGTGAATGTATAAATTATCTGGGTAAATTATAATATTTCACTAACCTGAATTAAGGCCATTTGGGGATGATTTCCCTTATCAACCATGATTCCAGTGAGGTCGCAGTGAGGTCGTTATAATTTACCCAGAATTATCATTTGAGAGCCATTTGAAAAACTGAAAGGCTCATGATGAAACTATAGATTATGCCAACATTTTATATTTCCTCATGAGAGCAATTTTATACTTCAAAGTGCTAAGGGGTCATTGGAAGCTGTCCGTGCTATACTTCGTCAAAATTGTATGAAATTATACTTCAGTTTGCCAACAATTATACTTTATGTTTCCGTAATGTTTGGACAAAACCCACATGGTCATCTGGCTGGTGGTGTTTAAATTTATCGCAAAAATATGCTCGTCATCTCAACCAATCATCCACGACTATGGTTTTAAAAAACTCGGAAAGTATGGGCAAGTAAAATGTAAGTAACCATAATAAACGCATTTCTAATCACTTGTTGGGTACATATCTTCCCATCTACAACTCAACACTTAAAACCCCCAACAAGTGATCAGATAGTTACCCAACTGTAACTGGGCAGAATGGCTGATCCCGGGATGGAAACCATTGGGTCCACTGGCTGGTCATCAAATCATAGTCATATCTGACTATATCGCGGAGTTTCGCACCAAGCAAAATATGATGGTTTCTATAGTGGTGCATAAATATACATATATTGTCTTTTGATATATATAATATATATATATACCCATAGGATCCATGTATGGTATATATGGTAACATTTACTATCAATATACCCCAAATGTTGGCATATATACCATACATGGATCCTATGGGATATACATATATATACTGTGAGGGCCCATGGCCTTGAAGCTTCCAAGGTTTCATTTTAGGAGGCTGGAAATGTAGGCCCTGTATCAGTGATGGTTCCAAGCCGTGCTTGTCATAGTATAAACACTACAGGTTCACATAATACATATTTATAAACTGTTTCTTGATACTTTTACCAGAAAACTACCCAAACATCTTCACATGCAACGCAGATGGTACAGGAAATGCATCAGGGCAGCTGGGATGACCAATGGGTTCTGCAGCCTTTTTGCTACAAAAGCCTCAAGCGTTTGGAACCCACCGTGGTTCAGCTACTTCTCTTTTTACCATGTCGGATGATGCAGCTGCCACTGCACCAGCTGCCGCAGTGCCAGCTGGAGCTGCACCACTCACTCGTGGACAAGACCAGTTGCCAGCCTTACGCGCAGCAAGGGCCGTGCTGAAGCAGCAGCTGAAAGAATCGACCAAAGAGATTCGCAAGGAGCCAAATGTTCCGCCCTTGCCATTTTACCCTTGGTGTGGAGAACAGATTTTGGAGCCAAATCCTATAGACACGGAGCAAAATAAAGTTAAAACATTTCAAAAAACTGTTAGGAGCTTGTTGAGCAAATCCCATAGGCACGGAGCCAAATAAGGTTAAGACATCTCAAAATACTGTTAGGAGCTTGTTGGGCAAATCCTATAGGCACGGAGCAAAATAAGGTTAAGAAAGTCCACATAATAAGAAAATGAATAGAATCATCTAATTCTTTTGATTGTGAATTTCTAAGTTCTTAACCTTATTTGCTCCAATTCCATTAGGATTGCAGTCCGGAAGTCTTCCCTGTATTTTTCGAATCCTTAACCTTATTTGCTTCACTTACATTGGGATTGCACTCTGGAAGTCTTACCCTTATTTCGCCACCCCTTACCCTGATTGCTCCATTTACATTAGGATTGCACCACGCAAATTGACACTCACCTCCCGGAGCCTCATCCTTATATCATCTCATCACACAATTTTCAGCATATTGCCGGATGTGGCGGCAGCTCAGCTGCTGGCGGCTGTGGCGGCTGTGGCGGCTGCTGCTGGCTATGGCGGCTGCTCGTGGATGCAGCGGCTGTGGCGGCTGCTGCTGGCTGCGGCTGTGGTGGGTGCGGCAGCTTGGTGGATGCGGGTTGCTATGGCAGAGGCCATCGGCTTCAGCGCCATCACCTGGAGGGAGGGTTCACATCATATTGGCACTTGTTGGCTAGATTTTCCTCCTAAGTTTGCAAGTAGATGAGATTTGGCATTGGGTTGTTACGGCTGGCCGTGGCTAGGGCGCCTGCGTTTCTTTCGTTTGTGTCTTGTCCTCCTTGTGGTCTTTGTCCCTGTCTTCTTGTATCTCTCCCCTGTTTCTCCCCTCGTTTGTTTTCCTGCCATTGTCGCCCTGTGCAGGTGCCTACAGCGACCTCGAGCTCTACACGCAGCGGCCCCTTGGCTTGCTTGTGGTTGCTGCTTGCTGCTACTGCTGCTGGTGTTGCTGCTGCTGTCGCTGTTGTTTGTTGCTGGCCTGGCTGCTTCTGCTGGTTGCTGCTGCTGCTGCCGGTTGCTGTTCTTTCTGGTGGCTGTTGCTGCTGTTGTCTTCCTGTCGCTGTTGTTCTTGCTGCTTGTGATTGTTCTTGCTGTTGGTGTCGTTGTTGGTGCTGCTGTTGCCCCTTTTTGGTACTCTTTCTCTCTTTCTCTTGCTTTCTTTCGCCTTGTTTCCTTCTCTTCTGCTTGCCCTCTCTCTCTCCCTGTCCTGCTCGTTGTCTTTGTGGCTGTTTGTCTTGTCTGTTCTCTCTTCCTTGTTCTCTCCGCCTCTGTCTGTCTCTGTCTCTATACTCTCTGACCTTGACCTCTACTCCCTAGCCCGGCCAGCACTATCACTTCTGACTGCGCCAGACTGAAGTGACAGAATCAGTTTGACTCAAAGTATGACTCGCAGTATGAATGCAGTATGAATCAATGAATGAGATAAGCAGGTAGGAAATGGCGGAATGATGGCGGAATATTTGATCTACTTGAGCTGAGCTATGGTATGGTATATCTTACACATTGTCCAGTTGCAGCCGCATCGTCAGCCGCAGTTTTTTTTTTGAGCAGCCTTGTAGAAAACAGCCCAGGAGTCACAACCTATATGGTAATCGATCTAAAGGTCCTTGCAAAGAGTTTTAATTGCGAAGACCGTTCATGTTATGCTGGAAAGTAACATGTTTATTCACGAAGAATGGCCGTTTGCGGATAAAGTAATTTTGATCAACAACCATATAACATATGCCAATGTGAATGCGTTTTTGAAGGCTGCTTTATTCTAATTCACACGTATGCTTGCATCATTCAATGGCATGAAGCGCCGGAGATTGCGGTCAAAGCAAAGGCCTCCCCCATGCTATGATGAAAAAAGAGAAAGTGAGGACGGTCATGTTCTACCACTTGCTGCGAGTGCAGCTGTTGCAGTTGGCGAGAGTCATGCATGTGAGGCGGGCCCTGCAGAAGCGGAAATTGTTGATGCTGCAAACGCAGCCCTTGCTGAAGCTGTGGACAATGATGGGCATGAAAATGCAGATGCCGCTATTCGTTGGCAGTTGCTGAGTAAGTATAAGGCTGTGCAAGGCTTGGTTGCAGCTGTGATTCGTGAGAAGAGCGATGAGGAGCTCCACAACATTTCAATCAACATCATCTTGGACGATATCCAGGCAAAAGCTTCCAACAAAATCAGCATGTCAGAACTTCTGGAGGAGAAAGACGAGTTTGTAGCGGCTACAATGTCCGCAGTTCCAAAAGAGCTATCTCGACGATTGCTTCTTGCTGTGAACAAGCCACAGGCGCATGCCAGGCGACCAGCACAAATAGATTCACAATGTGTCCAAAAGACTTACCTGCTCACCTTCTCCAACCTGGATCCAAGCAATGCTCCCACCAGGGAAACCATCCTTGAGACCGTCTTGCAGGCATTTGGCGCTGCAGGCTATGGTTCGGATGTTTGCGTGACGCATGCCTGCGTCTTCCGGGAGACGCATGGCAGTGGACAGTGGCACTTCCATGTGCCGACAGCATTGTCGCACCCTTGTCGATGGGTTGGATGGAAAAAAGAGTTGTCGAAAGCTGGCTACATTGCTCATTTTGCCAACATGGCTATTGATTACCACAGCAAGCACAGAAAAATGCAATATGCCCATATGTTGCGGTACCTCTGGTTGCCATCTGACAAGAAGGGCCTGTCCGCCTTGGACAAAGATCCCTTGTTGTGGTGCAGTGGGGGCCGGAAGCATCCGCCTCTTCTAGATGCGATCAATGGGGTCTTGGACAGTACTGCAATTGAAGAGAAGGTGGCAGAGCGTTTTTTGCAGCGTTGGTCTGCGGGCAAGCGTGGGCCATGCAAATTCTCTGACTTGGAGTTATGGCCAATAGTGAAAGAACTTGGGCTCACTGCCGATGACCCTGTCCTGCTTGCTAAACTCCTTCAGCATGGGCGAAATTCCGGAAATGAAAGATTGCTGAACTACCTCTTCCGCACAAACAACACCATCAGAGAGAAGGTCGCCACGTGCTGCACACTAGAATCATGTGATCGCGTCATCGCAGATTCTCAGACAACTACGTGGAAGCGCGTCACTGCCGCCTTGGGGCGACAGTGTTGTTGTGACAGAACTTGGGCACCAGCAGCTCGCGAGATTCTCCGCAACAATAACATTGAGGAGGGGAAGCTTTGCCAACATTTGCGTCAGGCCCTCATGCTGGGCATGCAGAAGAAGGGGGATGCAGTATGCTTCACAGGTTCCGGAAACGAGGGCAAAAGCTTCATTTTGAAGCCATTGCGTGAAATTTTCCAGCGCGTGCCTTGGCTACCGCTTTCACATCACATGGTTTCTGACCCTCACCCGTTTCCCAACGATCATATTTTTTAAAAAGATCCACTTGCGGACAAGTTTCTGCCCCCCGGGGGGACTCAAGTACTATGCACATATTTGTTGATGCCCGAGACGAGTCCAGTAACTGGGAATTGATTCTTGTAACGGGATTTTCACGCCTTGGTACCATCGAGATCTATCAACCTGTAACTATGGGGACCAACAATACCCAACTCTTGCCATGCATTCTTAACATGGTAGACCTTATTTCCTTGTTTGTGGCCTCCCCTTTTTGGACGGCCAGACGTTGATGTGCCCTCCTCAGAGCAGCCGAGGTGTTCGCCTGTCCAGCTCGAGACCTGACCATGGAGCCTTGGATGTCAGCAGTACCTTATTATGGTTGGAAAGTGCGACGCTACGCATCAATCGGCCATTGAACTTGTACAGTGGCCATTTGGATTTTCGACCGACACAACCCACTTTTCTCACATGTAACTGGCAATCGTTGTTTGTGCCGAAAGGGTGCTGGTCCGAGAGTGAGTTGCTGATGCTCCGGTCCAGACTGACCATTTACCGTTTCCAGCATAGAATCGAAAATTTGAAGGACATCCCGGCATGTCCATGTTGCTTCACCATGTTCATACTCTCTGGAGGGAAAAATGTAGCAAAATTTCTTGCTGCAGGATTCCCGAGTGTCTAGCTGTGTGCTGACTGCACCTAATTAAATGTTAAAGGAGCCGCTGTCACTGGTCCATCCGTTTTGCATGTTTCTCCCGACAACATAGAAAGTACCCAGCCCCATATAAAAACCCCTCGCCCCGAAATCAAAGTTGATTGTTTCATTGGACCTGGATCCGCGGCAGTGACGCTGTACTATATTTGGATGCCAGCAAGTCTCCAGTTTGCGAAAAACAACATTGATTTAGAGGGGCATGGGGGAGGATGATGGTATGACTTCTTTCCCTCTGCCTCTGATTGCATTTCATTGCCTTTGTTTCTGCCGGTATTTCTTGCATATATCTCTCCGCCTTGTTGCTTGAATTTCTGCAGCTCAGGTTTGTGGCCCACCGCAGACACTCGTGGGGACAGAAAAAGGGCTTGATTCGGCAGCATGACCAGTGTCGTACTTGTGGCCCCTCCTTGTGTGTGTGTGTGTGTGTCTCTGTCTCTACATCACTGTAGTTGCAGCCAGGGGTGCCACCGATTTCCGATTCATTTGCAGTCACTAGAGTTCATTCCTCAAGTGTTTTTGTTTCCAACAATTCCTCTTATGTCATAGCCATGGTTGGCAGGGTTGGCATGCTATTGAGCGTTTGGTGTGCTGGGCCCACTGTTGTCACGTTTCAAAATGCAGCTCTGCTCTGGCTGTATGAATCAGAATGGTTCAAAGCAGCAGGGTTGTAGAAGACGGCGTACCTATTGTTCTCAAAGCAGGTTCAAAAATAGATAGCAACAGGAGACAAGCCATGTTAAACTCATGCTACAATACATATCATATAGGTATAGCAAAACCTTCAGCCAGACAGTTTCAGTAGATCCTTTACTCATGTCAGTAGCCGCCGAAGCCGTGGCCTGCTTGGCAGAGAAGAAGGTGACAGAACTCCGAGCAGCCCTTCTGCTGAACCAAAGGCACATACGAAATTGCCAGCAGCAATCTCGCAGAGAAGCTGCCTCGCTGCTCAAAGGCGGCCTTTCTTGCCACTCTGAGCGAAAAGTTTTGGCCGTCTATGCTTTGTCAAACTGGGATTTGAGTTTGGCTCTGCGAGCGGCACAGCGGCTGTCCCGATTGCCCCAATGTTCTGCAGCATTTCCAACATCAGATTTTGTCAGGGCTCTCTTTCGTAACCACAATTGGGAGGACTTTTTGATGTTACATGATGAAGGCTCAGCACTTTGGGGACCTGCCCGAAAGTTTGCACGGCAGTTCCTCCTGGAACACGATGCTTGGTGTTGGGTGAAGCGTCAAAACCTTTCTCAAGGCGTGGCACCATCAGCGGCAGATGTGTTTCATTACTATGAGAACAAGGCGCTTCAGGTGGAACCTTGTGGACAGCCTCGCCGCAGGACTGTTAACAAATGGGCTGCTCGTTGGCGGGCTCGGTGGGGTGTTCGCAGGGCATGCCTGCGGTCAGCTGACACAGTGGATCCCAGCATTTTGCGGGACAAGGCAAGACTGGGCAAAAAAGCCGGGTCGCTTTTTTGGAACCCTTTTTTGGTTGAAAATGAAAGCATCCCTGGTTTCTGGGGCCGCTTTTTGGGACACAAATGGGTCGCTTTTCTAGGGCCCCAAAACATTGTACTTGAGCCATTTTTTAAAGTCTTGTTTGCCACTTTTTTGAGACCCGAATCTTCGTTTTGCCAGGTGAAGGCGTTCTGGAGATCCATTGCCTATGTGACCGAGAAGTTTGGCCACCAGGAACTGGTTTGGATCAACTTCGATGAAACTTCTGTTCCTTGCTGTCCACCATGTCCGAAAGGTTGCGTGGTGAATGACTGGAAGTCTTACCCCGTGCCAGGGGGTCCACAAATGCCGGTCCCCAAAAGTCGGCGGAGGATCGCCTACACATACGGGGCCTTGCTTTGCAGTCATCCGGGCATTCAAGCGGTGCTGCCGCACTTCCTGGTTTGCAGCGAGAAGAGGCTTCCCCAGACTGTCGCCAAAGGTTTTGCAGCGCTGCCACCGACGAGGTTGCGGCTTCTTCGCAGAAAATCTTCTTGGGTGACAACAGATTGCCGCCGAATTTTGGCAGATGTGAGAGAGGCGCTCCAGCCTTGGCTTCCAATGGTTAAACCAATACTCGTTTTGGACACAGCATCTCCTCATCTACCTAAAAGGTTGATGTCTTTTGCCAAAAGGAAAGGTTTTCGGCTTCTTTTTGTGCCAGCTTCCAGCACTGGCCTGCTACAGCCGCTAGACACCAGTGCTTTCAGTGCATTCAAGCATTGGATAAAAAGAAAAAACCAGCAGCTGCGGCGCACCGCCCAAGGCGGTGAACCGCAGCAGCTTGAGTTTCTGTGGCAACTGGGTCAAGCTCCTCGAGAATTTTTCGCCAGCAGACAATGGGCCCACGCTTTCGAAAGCGTTGGGTGCGGGCGAGATGTGACAAAGTTGCATTCCGCCTTGCGAAATTTCATGCAGAATCCAGTGTCCTTACCGCTTCCTGCCAAACCCACTCCGGCAGAGATGGCTCTCATTTGGCCTAAAAGGCGAAAGATGAGCTATGCGGATGCATGTTTGTTCTGATAACACCAAAGGTGTTGAAGTCCAGATCTGCTGTTGCAAAAAGGCAGATGCAACCGGAGAGCAGCAAGTGTGACACTGTATATACATAATATAAACAATACAGTTGCCCCATGTCACGATCTGCTGAATCATGGTATTGAATCCCCTGGTCCAATCACCAAACACGATCTGCCCTCCGGCTGTGTAAAAATCTCTGCTGCTCCTGGGCAGAAGGCATCACCGTCCAGATCTTGGAGAATTGCCTGGGAGAGACTTGGGGAAATAACAAGGGCGACCCCACAAGCATGGGAATTCAAATCCTTTTTCGGAAATCATGGGGATAGAAAGGCTACAATAATAGCGATTGTATACTTGTATTATAAGTATTGTGTGTAACAAATTGGTGTTACATTACAAAACAACCAATGCCTGGGATTTTGCTTTTGCAATCGAATGGGAAAGGAATGGGTACAATAACCAACTATAATCGGATTTGATTAGTGAGTTTCATGGGATTTAGTGGGGGACACCATTTGGATCGATTTGGTGGATTTTGAAATCTGTTGTGTAATGTTCTTTCAAGTTATGGCAACAAAAATGGGCTTATAGTATCTTATAGTAATGCACAAAACGATGCAGAACATTTTGACAACTTATCACGCTTACTGTAGATAAAACAGTATTTCTCATGATTTAGCACTGTTTTCCAATATATGGATTTATATATATATATATAAATAACCATATACAACCATATATAACCAAAAATAACCAAAAATAACTATGATGGTGAACCCAAATCCTCCATATTTTCCTATGGTTTTCCAAGGGTTTTCCCATGACAAAATATGACCAAATCTGCATCTCGAATCCCGCCTGCGCTGCCACCTCTCATCGCCCTCCTCCTGGCGAGAACCAACCAGGCTATGTTTAATGGCTCACTGGTTGGTGGTTGACCTACCCCTCTGAAAAATATGAGTCACTTGGGATCATTATCCCATATATGAAATGGAAAATAAAAGCCATGTTCCAAACCACCAACCAGCTCATAATATGCAGCCTGTAAACGTTTACAACGAGGTGAGGTGGAACATCCAGCATATGTAGATTGTTTTTCCGGGTTTACCATGGGTTTTTGCACATCTGTGAGTTTACCCTATAGGGTCATCTATCATACAATATCAAACTACAACCCCTTTTATGGGACTCCAATAGATGGATGATGCAAAAAAGAAAGCAATGGTTTCCGAAGGAGTGCCAGGCTAGATGATGAAATTTGGGCGCACTCAAAACGATGTTGTTTTCTACACCGGAGCAAGAAATACTAGCCAGTTCCAAACCAACTAAATGGATAATTTGTTGCATCTCGTTAGCTTCAAAATTATGTGAGTAAGTAACTTATTTTGCAATAATACCTTCAATATCCTTCAATACTGGTGCATTTGTGCATCAACTCCAATTACCATCTGGTTATTTAACAGTTTGCCATGGAAAGATCCACCATTTTTAAGTTCGGTAAACCATCTATTTCTATGGGCCATCGAAAAACCATGGCTATGTAAACGTCATAACCAGAGGGTAAAAAAGAAGCCAACTCCGGCCATGTTAAAACGCCGCCGTCGCAGCAGATGCCTTTGGTTTCACTTCGATCTCTGGCAAGTCTGGTCCGATCGGCCTGCTGGACGTTGCGGGATAAAACGCAGCTGCCCCGATCAAAAAAAAACAACAGTTCAGTGTCGCATTATGACACATTGAAGGTGGCTTCTATTATTCTATCATCCAGATCATATGATTAAATTATATAAACTATATTCTCATGATATTCCATTGGATTCCAAAATTATATCACCATTTTATTATATTACTTGTTCTGTTGGTTATACTACCCCAGATTCGTTGGGTTCGATCGCCTTTTCCTTTGTCCTTTTCAGTCTGTCCACTTTCAGGTGATCGCCTCTTGTGCAAGGCAAAGACATCCAGCCCCTGGTGCGATCCGATCACAGCGATGAGGGCCATGCGAAGAGAGTGATCATGACTGAATCATGTCTGCAAACATCTGCAAACATGCATTTATACTGTATATATATAATATGCATATTACATACATATAAATAGCATTAAGTAACTATACTATGTACAGTCGCGTAAAAAAAATACATATATCTGAACATGCATGATCAAGACAAGCATGTACCGTCCAGCTGTCCGGCAGCT